CCCCCCCTCTCTAATTCTCTGATGACTGTTTCTAGGACCCCGCCCCCAGCTCCCTCGGTGCTGCCAATTGCTGTACACACATTTGTACCTGGTGACTGATTTCACAAGGAATCCAGAAACCCCCAGGACAGGGCTTAAATTTCTCTTTTTGATGTATTTATTTTATTTTATCTGGACCAGTGTTTTTCCTGTATGCTATGGATCGGTACCGTATGCATGTCTGGTGCCTTCTGAAGAGGGCCTCAGATTTGATGGGACTGCAGTCGCCGATGGTTGGGAGACATCATGTGGGTGCTGAGAAACAAAGCCAGGTCCTCTGCAAGAACAAGGGGCTCTTAACTACTGGGCCATCTTTCCAGTCCCCAAGACAGGGTTTCGAACTAGTAGAATGCACCTGAGTTGTACTGAATGTGCTCTAGTATGCTACAAAGAAAACTTATTGCCTCCCTTTCTTTCTTTTTAAAATAGACTTTATGTTTCAAGCGGTTTAAGATTCTTAGCAAAATTAAGTAGAGGACAAGGAACTCCTGTATCCCTCCCACAGGAGTACCATCCCTCCCATGGTCAGCATCTGGCAGGAGAAGAAGCTACAGGGACTTCTCTTTGTCACCCAATGTCCACAGCTTAAGAGTTTATTCTGGGAGGTGTGTCACTGTGGATTTTGACCAAAGCTGAATGACATGTTTCTACCCTCCACTTTGCTTTTCCATAAGGATGAATTCCAGGTTCGTTATTATTATTATTTTTTTAATCTAGGATGAATATTTAAATCTCGCCCCTTTAGCCTCCGATCCCAAGCTGAGCCACTCTGCAGCGCCTGGTGGTAATTCGCCGCATGTCATCTGCCCTGGTACCGAAGGGAAAGACATCCCTAGTCAGGTTGTCAGGGGCGGTTCTGCGTACCTAACTTCGCAGCCTTTGTCGTCTGTCTCAGGAGCGCTCGTGGAGGCAGGCTATGTAAATATTATCTATTATTATTACTGATAATTCCTGGCAGCTGTAACGGTGACAAAGCTAGCTTGCCCCATGTCCCAGATGGGAGCCTCTTCGGCCCCTGTTCTTCACGGCGGTGTGAACTGCAGTGAACTTGACTTGTCAAACTGCATCTCCATGCCCAGGACTAAAATCCCTGTTGCCCAGAGATGCTGCGCACTGTGCAAAGCAGTCCTCATTTGCACTTCCGAGAAGTCCCCCCCCCCCTCCCCGGGCCACTCCATCCACCTTTTTTCTTTCTAAAAAATGTAGGGTGGAATGATCAGCCATAGTTCTCGGTGGGAGGTCCCCTGTGTTCTGCCCTAGATTTTCAAGCCGGCTGTCAGGCCAGGTGGGGGCTGTAGTGTTATTTTAGTGGTGTGGTTGTTGTTTTTAGTTAGCAATTTTCTTCCCTTTCTTTTTCTTCCTCCCCGCTTCCCTCTCTCCCTTTCTTGTTCCTCTTTTCTGTGCTCACAGCTGCGTAGCTTCAAAGACTCTACTTCCTCCCTGCTGGGCTGCAAGCAGAGAATTATCACCCTGGGAACAGTGAGGGTCTGAAACGCAGGAGCTGAGCTGGGCCCCCATGTAGCTGACGGGACCTTGCTGAATCTCTCTAAAAGTCATTTGTTCCTGTTCTGGAGATCGTCTGTCAGTATCGGGAGTGTTACTGAGCCACAGACATCGCTTTCATTCCTTCATAAAGGTCCTAATTATTTTCTTAAATTAAATTAAATTAACGACTACATTTTGAGAAAGAGTCTTACGTGCCCAGTTTGGCGTCGGACTCAGTACATAGCTGAGGATGATCTTGAACCTCCAATCTTTGTGTCTCCACCTCCCAAATGCTAGGGTTATAGGTTTATGCTTATAAATGTCTGGCTTATGTGGTGCTGGGGATCAAAACCCAGGGTGTCCGGCATGCTAGACAAGCACTTCAATTGAACTGCACCCCTAGCCCCGATACCCCTAGCCCAGGTTTCTCTGCTGGATATATCACCATCACATTTTCCTGTTGCTAGCAAGGAGATGTCAGCTCCACCCCTAGTAGTATGCCAAGTACCAATGAGTGCTCTGGAAGCTTTTGTTAACCGAACAAGCAGAACCAAAGCTACAAGGAGTCCTATCTATCTATCACACGGCCCGTGTGCTCTAGCCTTGGATGAGAAAATATCTAGGCAAAAACCCTTAGGGAAATAGTAACAAGAATGCCATCTCCCTTCTGGTGGGCAAGAGGTCAACATGCTGATAGATGAGTGTCTTGGGGGAACCTAGACAAGTTACTTTCCTAATGTGGTGTCTCAGGTCCCAAGAGTCCTTACCCACGCTACCAGCTTCAGGGGATTTTAATGGGTTTGGTTTCAGGAGAGATACAGGACTCTCCCATGTGTATTTCGGTGCGATTTCTACTTAAGTTCTCACGATCTAGCTGAGCGTTCCATCAACTGGCATCATGAATTTGCTGCTGATGGCTGGGAGTTCCATTTTTATTGCCTGCTGCCCCATCTGAACAGGGACCATGAGTTCTATGCAAATGCTGACTCTCATGGATTGCTCCATGATTGGAGAAGTGGTCAACAGGTAGGAGCTTCGGCACAAAGGGCTATTTAAAGGCGGCGTGGTGGTGGTGCTGGATATGTAAAAACTGGAGATGTGGGTTCAGTAAGGCCACTTTATTGGATTGAGGTGGGTTTTGTGATTCATATTAAGGACCAGGTGCCAAGGCTTAGAATGCCACTTAGAGAAGAAAAATGCATTAGCTATTGCTTTAGTCTGTCAGGACAGACAGACAAGTAGCAACAAGATTGCAATTTCCTTAAGTCAGTCACATGCTGAGGACTTAGTTAAATTTTAGGACTTCATCCTACCCAGGTGTATTTATTTCTTCCCCTACATTGATTCCCTTTTATGAAATGCCGACGCAAACTTTAAACATACTGTACTATCCAAGGTGGGTTGCCAAATTAGTTTTGGAAAGATTTCAACAAACTTGACCTGGTTAAGACGGACCTTTTCAGATCTTTACTCTGGTGACGCTTCGCGAATTTCCAAGCTCAATGATTCTCTGTTGAATAGTCCAAGCTCTGAGACCATGGAGTACTTTTTGGCAGAGCATTCAGGGGGATTCTTGTTCCGAGAAGCCTATCTTGGAAACAATCTTTTGATGTTCTCCCAGAGTTCGGCCATTTGTGATTTGAATGTCTCATTGGTTTCTCTAGCTGAAATGTTCCTGCCTGGAGAGACGGATTCTCATGGAAACTTCTCTGTCATATTTGCCTTTTGCATTTTTCGGAATGAGCTGTTCTATCATAGTTATCACTTGGCACTCTAGTTTTAGATCTATTCAAGCACTATTTGGAAGTTGAAGAATTACAGACCCAAGTAGGTCAAATAACTTAATCATAATCAAATTATTATTTTATTATTGTTATGTTTTGACCTTGGTGAATACCAGAGTTATACTGTCTTCAATTTCTTCTCTGATGTCTCACAGAGCATCTTCCAGGGAAATGAATCTTCTCTTGTTGGGACAGAGCAGGAGTGGCCCAGAGGCCTACGTGTGACCATTCAATGCCTGGGTGCTATTCCTATGAACTTTTTGATGCCTAAGCAATACAGAAATGAAAAGAAAATGCCAGAAAGGAAGAGGGAGATCTCAGAAATGCCAGGATTCTCAGAACGGGGCACCTTTTTTTTTCCCCCCACAGCCCAGCTGCTGGGACTTGTAGACCAGGAAAGATTTCACCCATGGTGGAAAATGCAAGGTTGAAACAGGAGTCCTGCTGCTCTCCAGCGCAGTGGGAGGTCCTCCCGGGTGCTCTTCTTTCCTGGCAGAAAGAGGAAGTGCTAGAGAAATGGCCTTTGAGTTCTGCTATCAGCTTTGGGGAGGCTGTGGTGAGGTTGAGTTTGGTTTTAAAAGGAGTGATTAGCATCTCTCTAAGAAGGTCAGAGAGAAAGCCGCTTGGGGGCTGTGGAGAGGGATGAGGGACAGATTTGACGTAGCTGTCATTACCTCCCAAGGAGGCCCAAAGGGCTTGGAAAATCATCAAAGCAGGAATTCCCAAAGTGCTCGGTCAGGAAATTCTTGCAAACAAAGTTTTGTTTGCAGAAGTAGGTTGTAGGACGCCATTGACTGAGCAGTAAAACTTGGGTTTCCAGGAGTTTGTTATAAGCAGGGTAGTACGGAACCAGAATGACGTATCAATAGAAGAGAAGGGCCCCAGATGTGAGAAACACAATTGATACGCGGGCCGGTGTTGGATGAATGTACCTTACACAGTTAGCCAGTTCCCTGGAAGAGCTCTAGAACTCACCACGAGCCTCACAGGAACTAGGGACACGATAAACATCCGGTGAATGAGAACTTTTAAGTTTGATGTTGCAACTTCCTGGTAAGTTACCTAAAGCTTTCTAGCCCCCACTTTTTCCCTCTTCACCTCTGTGTCTATTACTAGAAATTTGGTAATTCCCTAGAACACCCTATTTCTGTTCAAGACAAAAATCTGGCAACCGTAAGGGCTTTGCAATTTATAAAGACAAACTTGTTTTTGTTTTTTTTTTTTTCAGGGCACTGAATACAATGGTGAGACCACAATGGCCTCTTCTGTGTGGTGAGAAGCAACTCTGGGGAAGGACCCTGTTGGCTGAACTTACAGCATCTGTTTGATAAACCAGTTACTGGAGTCACCCCAGCCAGATGCCCGGCGGGAAAACACATCTCTGATGTGGTTTTGAGCACATTCTGTTTTGTTTTTTTTTTCCTCCCCTCATGGCGTTTCCTTCTCTGAGTTCTGATGGCTCCTTCTTTGCACTCCTCTCACATCACTTCGATTGGGAAAGAAGAGCAAAGGGTTCAGAGCTGGAATTCCTAGGTTCAGGGTGGGTTGTTGCTGGCTTGCTGATGGGTGTCTGTCTGTCCAGTGTCGTTGGCTACACCAGCTTCAGGTTAGAGTTGATGAGGTGAGATGATAAACATCTTATCTCACAGTGGTTTCCCAACAATGAAGCAAGATAATAAAGAAGAGAATACTTATCAAATCATAAGGCAATTTGCAAATATTGCTTATTATGGTGGTAGTAGTACCACATATTCCTATATTGTTCATACCTGGAAAGCAAAAAGTGATAGACGATCATTCTTTTCAGTCCCAGAGTCTAGCTAGGTGACTTACATTAACAACGCCATTGAATATCGTAATAGAGATAACAAATTAACCAGGAATAACCTCCCTTTCCCAGTTCAAAAAATATCATAGCAATAAGGAAGGGACCTTAGAGGAGTAGGAGGATGGGGGCTTGCAGGAGGTAGGAGATGTCAGAGGTCTTAGTAAGGTCACTACCATTCCTTCCTGCAGGAATAACCAGGGAAGGACCTACTTACTGGCAGCTTTGTTGGCAGGACTCTGGAGAGGGCTGACTTCTGTGAGTGACCATGGTTTGCACGCAAACTGCTTTTGAAAACCAGCACCGGTTTCAGAAGTCTTGTCCCTAGGTGACAAATGAGAGGAATAACCTGAGCGATTGGAAGAATCAACATTTTTTTTTTAATTGCCATGGACTTATTTTGTTTTACCAAGATGGTCTTGGTAGCCCAGACTAGGCTGGAACAGCTGTACAGCCAGTGCTGACCCTGAACCTTCCATCCTCCTGCTACTACGTTCCAAGGGCAGAGATGATAGATGTCCACCACCGTGCCTGGCTATGGGCATTTGAAAAGAAAATTACAGGTTCATTTCCTAAGGGCAGATGCTTTAATTCCACCCAGCAGCAATCAGGGTGACACAGGGAGCGTAGAGGCAGCCTTATTCATGTGGCTGAGTTCTAGATCTACTGCTGTAGGATCGAATATGCATTTGGGAAACCTGGTTGTCTTAGGAATGCGTTGATACGCTGCGCGAGTTCCTTTTCCAGTTTTAATGAGGGTCAGTGTGATCCACGAAAGAATCAGTTGCTTAAGTGTTTCTCTTTCTGCTCTGCAAGACAACTCAGGGAGGGCTAATCTCTGATGACAGTCACTCCCTGAAGCTCTGCACTAGGCGTTACCAGGCCTCATTAAAGACTGCCCGGGCAGTCTGCTGACCGGCTCCTTTTCTTTACCCGGAGTCTTGTCTCTGTATCTGCTGTATTATTCTTTGTGTCTGAGTTTGGCATGTCTGCCTGGGAGTTCTCTCGTTGTGGGTTTGGGTGTGGCGGGGAAGACAAAGATGAACATCCTCCTGGCTGCCTCCCAGCTGCCTGCTTTCTTCCAGGGCGGCCCCAGAACACCTGTGGGAAAGTCACCGGCAGACTAGACGGGAGGGGGAGGGAATCGGGTCTGTCTCAACACCTCGGGCATTTGCTGCCCTCTCCACGCTGCACCCAATTATCTCACAAGATAATAATACTCATTTATGGCTCTCGAAGTCTCCACCTTGCCTTGATATTATTTCACAGTATTGGCAAATGGCGTCTGCTTTCTCGAGCATGTTTGTCTAAGCTAAAGTCTTCCACCTGCGGTGAGCGGTGAGCCCGCAGCCACAGGGATTATCTCTGCGCTGACTGTTTTTATCCTAATGGGCACCTCGAGGACAATGAGGGAATTTATGTACGGGCACATCCATGGGCCCTAGCCCTACCTGCACAACTGCACGTGGTGGTTGCTCAATAAAGATTTGGGGCAACGGGAAATTGAATAATGCCAGGTTTATACGTATGCCAGGAAAGTACAAAATGGAGGTCATAAATCATGAGCGTGTTCATTAAAGACCCAGCTGGAAACTCGGAGGGATCACGTGAGTATAGGCCTACATCAGCATTGACAAAGTCAATCATTTCGGCTTACATTTTGATTCCTTATCATTTCCATTGGTTGCAAGTGGAGGCTTGGGATTTGTAACGTCTATGGAAGGAGGGACCCGAGCAGCCTAACCCAGGTTGTGAAAAGCCATGTCTTTGGGAGACCCAGAAGGCTGCCCGAGAGTCATTGTGAAGCTGTGGAATTGAGTTGGGCAATCTTTTCCATAGTTTCTTTGCTGGCTCACTAATTCCCTCATCATCTGTGTATTTCCCTCTAATAAATCTTCTCATTATGTTGTGTACGCATAGTTCTTTTAATTTCAGACTAGCTCAATTACTCCTTAGAACATTGTATAATTTCTATTGTGAATTGTTATTGCTTTGAGAGGCAGACTGGAACTCATTTGCCTGCCTGTCTCCTCGAAGGTAATGCCACCCTGTCAACACACCAATAATTCATGACCTAAGGTTTTAAATTAGTATTTTTTTCTTTTTCACCAAATGAAGGTCATCATTCGGAGCCTCCCCCCCCCCCCCCCCGCCTCTCTTTCTGTGGTCCTCTCCTTGACCATACTTTGTAGACTCTGCTCTTCTTACAAAAGAATGTAAGGACAGCTGTAGGAAAAGGAAAATCCTGCTAATTTCAAGTCTTCTCTCTGTTTAGAGATGGCGCTGACCGGGTGAGTCAAAATGCCATGCTTACAGTGATGGCCAAAGATATTTCAGAAACAATGAACTATCTATACCAACTAATGCAAAAGAAACAATCATCAGATTATTATGCTAAGCTTTCGATCAGCGTGACATGTGATTTAGACCAGTTTGCGTTTGTATAACATACTATTTTTTTCTTTGAGAATTTCATGTAATATCTTTTAATCACCTCCACCTCCCACTCCCTTCTTAAACCCTCCCAGATCCACCCCTACCTCCCCTCCTTCTTCAAACTTTGTGTTTTCTTCCTGTTTCCCTCTAAAACTAAGGGTGTCCAGCTGGAGTTGGCCATGAGCTCATAGGTATGGGGTTGTCTACTTTAAGACCACGCCCTTAAAAAAAAAAACTGACTTGCCCTCTCCTGGCAGCCATTAACTGGCAATATCTCCTTAGTAAGAGTGGGGGCTCCTGAGCCCCCGTCCCTCTGAACTAGAATCTTATTCCGGTCTTTCAGGTAACCACGGCTGCTGTGAGTTCCAGGGCAGTGGTCCTGCCTGCCATGTCTAGAAGAAACTGTTTTGCTTTGTTCTTCCACATCGTTGGGCTTTTCCATCTTTCCAGGCTTTTTTTCTGGCATGGTCTCTAAGCCCTGGGGTTGGTGGGTGGGTAGTACCAATTAGTGGCTGAGCACTCATAGACACTTAGCCTCTGTATTCTGACCACTTGTGGGGTTTCTGCCTACTGCACAAAGACACTTCTCTGGTGAGGACTGAGGGCTGTGTTGACCTATGGTTATAAAGATACAAATTTAGGGGGCAGTTTGATACTACGCTCTTTTACTAAAATAATAATAGTAGGTCCGCCCATTGGGGCTTGTGAGCTACCCAACCTAGGATTCATGGCCAGGCCTGTGAAATGGGCCTTACATCCAATCAGAAAGCAGTGAGTTACTTCCATAGTATTTGTAGACTACTGTACCCCTGAGCACACCTTGCCATGATGTTGATGTGTTGATTTTAGCCTGTGCTAACTGAACATCTACTACAACTGCAGGGAGTTCACTTGGAACTAAGTACACAGAGCCACATGATGTAGGCTCAGTGTCAGAAGAACTCATCAGAAGCCTGTCAAGTATGACGGTTTCTACATTCACCACTTAATGCAGACTGAAGAGAAGCCAGACTTCAGATCCAATGCATAGCACAGGCACACTATTTCCTCATACTGTTATTATTATTATTAGTGTCTACTTGTTCCATGTTTGTGTTCTGATAGTGCCATTAGTGCTCACCAAACTGTCTGCAAGAATTTAGTCAAATGTAGTCAACCTCAACTGAATTGTTCCTTTATCTAAAGGCTACTTCCTTCTGTGCGGGAATTCCTGAATAAAAACCATTTAAATCGTTTTCAGTTAGAGATAGAGAAAACAAAAAAAGAAAACATTTGAGCTCTAACTGTGCCGTTGTCAGATTCAACAAGAAATGTTTTTGCATTTGTTTGTTCTTATGAAGCTCCGTCTTTCTTCACCACTTGTGTGAGTTTCTTTTTTCTCAGCCTCAGCTCAAAGCTCCCTTATTTTCATTAGCCTTCGTTAACTGACCCAGGCTCTTTTCCAAACACCTAAAACACTGATTTGTCTGACCATATTTTGACATGTAGTTTGTCCTTTTTTAAATGTCTCATCCGTGTTCAGGATGAGGCCATATTACCTAGCCTTTGGTGGCCTTGGAACATCTAACCCAGTACCTCTCCCATGGCAAGTACCTAATAAGGAGTTCCTATTTGCTAATGGCTGTTGCTTTACCCCACTTAGAAGTGTTAGCTGCTCGCATTAATTAACGCCCAAGGCAAGACATGTGAGAATTGCTTGTGCTGATCTAAGAAAAATAAAAACCAAAGCAAACCCTTGAAATCTGAGAGCCTGAAACCACATCTTGATAAGGAAAAGAACACTTTTATGAGCTCAGCCTTCATTCAGGGTTTTGGCTTCTTCTTCCTGAATTGGCTCTGCACCACACCACAACAAAACTTGTTTACTTCCTAGGACCCTGGGCTGGGGGCAAGATGCCACCCGTGCCTGCCTTTGTCATTTTTCATGTTGGGCAATTGAACCTGCTCCAAATAAAATGTTATTTCCAAAGAAGTTAAAAACAAAATGACCACCAGAAAGAAATTCTGTTTTGAGTAGTGAATATCTCTCTATTTTTTTGTTTGGTTTTCACATCCAGATTGGCAAAATTGCTGCGTTATTGGTACTTGGCTGTTCACTATGCAGCATCTAATTGGAACAATTAAAATGATTCAGAAAAGCTAGGGTTATGAAGTTGAAGCTTGGATTTTCCTGGGAACCATTGAAGATTCTTGGCAGTTTCTACGAAACAGGCCTAGGCCATATGTAGGCAAATAACCATGCATTAAACAAATTTCAAATCTCCATGTAATCTCTCTTGGCCATCTTTTTCCTTTTGTTTTCAAGGACAGAAAAAGAGATAGCACATGCCACCATGCATCAATCACATCCAGGGATGAGATAATGTGCCTCAAAGTCCAGCACCCTGGATACGTGGAGTTTGAGGCAACATCCTCCCCAGTTTCCTCCCTGTCTCCCTGACTATCTGAGATACTTTTTTTTCTGGTTCAGATAGATCACATGAATTTATAAGTGCTGTTCTAAATCCCTTATTTGACAACAAAGAACCATTTGTTAGTGTGGTAGGTAGAGAAAACAAAAGGTAAGGATTGTTGTCCCTTATAGTACCAGATCTTGCGAGCATATACTGACTTACAGAACCCTTTGGAGTTCAGAATCAATGGAGAATTCTCATATTGTTCCCTTTCCAAGAGAGGAGAAAAGCTGTCATAGAATCAGAACCCTTGGAATTTGTTTGTGGCCACAGAGATAATCCTTTTCATAGGAAGAATGAACTAACAAATATCTCTTACTGAATTTCCCCCTTCTCCAGTTATGCATTCTAGTTATTGAGAAACCATTTGGCTTTTAGTGTGACTCTCTCTTGTGCCATTGTGTTTCAGACTTTAAGGTTGTTAAACTGAATTAAGTCTGGCCTAATGCTTCAAAGTTTTTGTCTGAAGGAGACTTGGGTTAATTACCGAGCTCGTCGATGCTATGGAAGGAAGATCTCAGATCAGGTTAAACTGTGTATGTTTGCCCACAAATCCATATTTGCATTTGCATCTTAGCCAGTCTTCAGTTCTTGGAAAGCATTTTTCGCACATGCTGAGCCTTGGTGGGAAAATATAAACTCCTGGCTTTGAAGGGTGCCATGTATGCAAATGTAAAAACGTGGTAGGATAAAATATATTTCTCTACTGGGCCAACTTGGGCTTCACAAACCTCCCCTTTCAGTCGGCATCTACTGTTTTCACCATTTGGAAAACTGTAAGCAAAGGGCAGGGTGAGCTGTACCTGGATAATTTGTGTTGTGTAGACAGACATGCGATTTGTGCCTTCCATACCGTTGATCGGTCACATGCCTTTTGTAAGGTCTTTGCAAAGTCAGTGCCATGTTCATTCTGCCTGTCAGGAAGCAGCTTGGGCGTTTCCAGTGAGATGCTTTCGTGGTGGTACCAGGCCTTAAGGGTTCTTCCAGGGGCAAATGACCAAATCTAAATTGAGCAGTGAAAGGTGGAAGTGGTTTGGGGTAACCTTATTTATGGAAAGCATGGAAAGTTGAAAATAACTGCTATTAATAGGTGCAACCTAGTCAGGCATTTTGTATGAAAAAAAAAAATCACACAGAAACTTTGAGTTTGGGCCAGTTCTCTTGGGAAGTCCTCACAAGTGTCTGTAACTCATGGGTGTAACCATGGAAAATCCTAGTAAAATAATGAAATATCACAAATGTTCATTTTTTTTTGTAAAAAAAACTGTTCAATGAAACTAGAGACCCAATTCGGAGATGATAGGGGAATGTATTCATTTTAGCAGAACCTTTTGGGCCATTGACTTGGATACATCTTAAAGTGTCTGTTTATTAGGGCTTCCAGGGTTGTGTTTGAATTATCTTCAAAGCTGAGCAGTGAAGGCTGATCTAGGCACTAAAACCCAGAGAACCATGTTACCGGTTCATTTTGCCAGGTACCAATATGTGTCGGGTGGAGTTTATATTCCAGAGACAGAGCTCAGTGCCGGGGCCTAACATTGTGCCTGGCATGCAATAGGCACTCACTGTCGCCTGCACAGTTAGAAATCATCCTTGCCATCTCTGAGCATGGACTCTGAAAAGAAAACAGACATGAAGCTGCTGATAGCGACTCGGCAGCACACGGCTGCGACATTGTGTTTATAGTGAGTCAGACTAAGTTTTACTGGTCCAGAGAAGACAGGCATCAAGATGACTGAGACTGTGGGAAGGCCTGGTGAAGCCGGGTGGACCTGAACTAGACAGAACAGAGGATGGGGAGGACCTGGACAAAGAGAGGGAGAGTGAGGGGGCTGAGGTTAGAAATTTATGTGGCGTGATAAAGGGAACTAGCTGGAATGGCAGTAGCTGGAGTTGGAATGCCACTCACTTAAATCTGGCTTTTCTTGTGCTTAGTGGGAAACATCTGCCCACTTTTAGCTCAACTGTGACAGAGTGAAATTGATTTTGGGGGGAACATTGCTCTGGCTAGTGGTCTACAGCATGCTGCAGCATGGATGGCCGGGGACAGACTAGGAACCTGGACTTTCTCCAGGTGCTGCAGGAACCCAGGAAGACGGAGAGCAGCAGACCCAGAAGGACACAGCTGGAAGCAGAAGTGAGGACTCAGGTGAGAGCATCCTTGGGAGGGAGAGCACACAGACTGGTGAGTAGCACATGGCTAGATGAAGATGCCGGGCACAAAGGAGATGTGGGGGATTTCTGGGTAGCAGCTAGGGAAGGGAGCTCTTGGGTTTGAAGGAAAGTCCACCAGTTCACGCAGGAGGGTGGCCTTTCTGACCCAGCTGTTGTAAATATAGTTACGGAAACACTGTCCAATCACTCTTCCACAATTTTCTCTTGCTTTGAGCAATCGCTGAGTTTAGCCATTTACTCAGCAAGAAAAACAGCTGAGTCATTTTCTGAGGGAGCCATCTACCTAGATAATTACTTTGAGGATGGAAGCTATAAACAGAGCTCTCCTGCATGCTGGTTAAGCTGCTGAAATATTTGCTACTCAGCGGTAGCCAAACATTCCTTTGCCTAGGGACAGCTTTGGTGGGGCCACCACACTTACAAAGGAGCCAGGTCTTCTCTGTGCTTTCCTGCCAATCCCTGAAGCTTTAGCAGTTCACTGTGTGTGTGTTAGAGATTCTTTAAGAACCACTTGCTGTTGGCCATCTAGAACGTCGATTCTCAACCTGTGGGTTGCGACCCCTTTGTTGGTCGAACAATCCTTTCACAGGGGTCGCCATTAGAAAGCACAGACATTTACCTTGTGTTCATAACAGTAGCGAAGTTACAGTTATGAAGTAGCAATAAAAGTAATTTTATGGTTGGGGGTCACCACAGCATGAGGAATTGTGTCAAAGGGTTGCAGCATTGGGAAGATAGAGAACCACTGCTCTAGAATCTTTTTCATTTCCACTGTAGAGTGACTAAGCTCTGCAACTGACAGGTCTGTCTGACTTTTGACATAGGCTCTGTATGTACTATAGTCTCTAAAGAGTCAAGCTGTGTCTTGCTTGGTTAGTCACACAGCATATCTTTAGTCTCTGCCTAGGAAAGTGGGCTTTGTTTTTCCCTGGCACCGATTTGCCCAAGAACAATGCTTTAAATGAATGACTTGGTGAGATATTGGGGGGGGGGTGTTCTCTGTATAGATGTCATATATCATCTGGCCATATAATTGATTTCCAAGTTCAATTTAGACTGTTTCTGTCCATGGACATAATGCTCATTCTTTAGGTAGCACTACTGCAAAATATTGGTTTCGGAGCACCAGTTCTCTGTTTTAATTTATAAGGGCATGTGCTATAGGCCCATAGTATACTGTAGGATATCATACCAGATTCCTGTTCAGAACTTAATTATTATACACAAGGCTCCAGCAGAGCGATTTCAAAGTCTTTTTTGAAGGGCTGAATATTCAGGTTTTTTTGTACCCACAGCTGCCAATTCTTATGTTTTTTAGTGGTCTTCCATTCTCCATTTGCTGAAGATATAAAACCACATCTCAGAACGCATGTAGAAATACTATAAAAAGCATCCATGATTAATAGAACATTTTCAACATTAACTGTCTTAACCAATTCTATTAAAAGAAAACTTAAAGAATATTCCCCCCTTTTTTCTTCTTCCAAGTTCTAGGGGTGTTCCAAATATGGAAGCCTTCTGTCAGATTCCCCATGAATCCACGGGAGACTGTGATTGTCACATAAAAAGACAGAGATTTCTCCTTCTTACCTCCCACATTGTTGTTTTAACCATTTTACAACTAAGCTATGGTGAAGACCTTGGTCCACTTATGAAAACAGATCCGTCCCTCTCATGTAAGACTGTGTCCATTGCAAAAATGGCAGGTTCAAAGTGAGGGCATCTTTGTTGCTCCGTTGACTTATTTTGGGGTTTCTCCCCTCTCTGTGACTCCTCAGTGTCTCCTCTCTCTGCCGACCCTTCACAGACTCCATCTCACTCACGACACACGGACATGGCATCGCTACGAAGGCGGTGACGATCAGGTTTCAAAGGACAATGCAGCACGCTGAGGAGAAACCATCTCCAGAAAGCAAGGACCCCTAAGACTCGCAAGATAAAAGGACCTTATTTTCTTGGCAAGCTCTGTAGATGTTCTGCAATGACGAATGATATGACTGTTATCTTGACACCGTACTCTCCCATGTTGAAACTGTTTATGAGAACCAAACATCATATGAAGAACAGATTGCCAGACGCTAAGTAAATCATTGTAAAGGGTGGTGAGTCAAGTATTGCCAGTTTTACCCACATTGTCATTGTTATGATGTAACACATTCCTTAAGACTGATATTGTCTCCAAATTTGGGCACAAAAGCCTCCTCTTGATCAGTTGGCTGAGAACCTCCGCCTCCTGATAATGTCCCACTCAGACACAGCTGCAGAGACCCACGCATCCAGATTTGGACAGACACCCAACCTGAGTTAAGCACAAAGAACAACCCAGAAAAGATAGAATATTTTAAAAGGTGTGCGGAGATTACACAAACTGTAAATTTCAACCCTTGCTCAAGCAATAAACCCTGTAATCCTCTAAGCTCTGCTAGCCATGATTAATAAACAGTGGGTGTGCTAAGCATATGGAAAAATCATCCCATCTGGACCATTTAAAACTAGGACATAGACTTTATCTTTGTTTATTTCATCCTTAGCTAAAAGGCTTATTATGAATTGCAATAATCCAAGAAGCCAACCATGGAGGACAGACAAACTCTTTAGATAAAACCAAAAAAGCAAGCTCTGTAACTGAGGACCAGATGTATTTTTGGGTTTAGCTCTTGTACATATTTAGCCGAGCTTTTCAAGTGGGGAAGATTTGCATGTTTGTTTTGCAATACTAATGAATATGTTTTTGATTTACATTTTAGAAAATGGAAACTTTTATCTTCTTGGGGCTTTGTAACTTAATGACTTCCAGAGGGTAGCTTCGTGTCCTCTTTTAACCCTTCACCATGAGAAACATATCTCATTCAGAGGCCTAGCACTGGGTCTTGCCGAATGAACCCCTCCTAAGATAATGTGATTCTGTCTTTGCTGCTGGGATGGTAAGGGTGAAAGAACGTATGACTTTCAATCTAGTGAAAACATATGTAAATGGCAAATTATTTTTAAACTGGCTTTAATGTGAATCTTGGGGGTATAAAAATGACTCCACAGATGATCTTTATATTAGACAAGCAAGCAGAGCTCTTTGGGATGAACGTTTGCTTTGGGAGGTAGAATCTTCTTCAGTATTGCTTCAACTTCCTCAGAGATAAAAAATTGTTGGAGGAGCAAAATGTCACAGTATTTTTAAAAATTACTCCAGAAGATATCCTTAGGGTCAGTTCTTCCTTCCTTTCAACTTCTTTGAAGATGTTACGTGGAAAAAAAAAATCAGTAAACACATTTTACCCTCAGGACTTCCTTTCTTTGTAATTTGGGTTGGACAAGGACTTTATCAGAAATGGAAAAATTTATCCTTGAGGGGCAAGAGTGTTTTAGAAGAAGATATAATGAGAGCTGTGAACTCTCATTATATGACAAATGGTCCAAAGAGATTGCCTTTCTTCTAAACTCTTCTAGTGGTTTTAAAAAACAGCATGCGACAGACTAGAAAGACACCTTTAGAACCTGTGTTGGGGCCATGAAATCTCTGAAATGCTTAGCTTTCTGGGACAAAAGGAGGTGTTAAGTCACATGGAGCATGAAACCATGGGGGAACATTTTACATTGGTTCCACAGTTGTGAGTTGTGCTGAGGCTCATTGAAAAATGTACTGGTGAGGACCACGCAGTTCCCTGATAAGGAACCTAGTGGCATTTTTATGGTGTCACATCTGAGAGGCATCTGACCAGGAGACCCTAAGCCCACTTCTTCTCATGGGAAATCGTTTTACCCCTGGAGACTATTTCTCCCACTCAGCGTCTGTTAATAACTAGTTTAAACTTTCCAGACAGTTTTATAGTGTTGTATTAAAATTAGATACATATTTGCTGAGAGTTCTTGGATAGCAAGCGTTTTCTAACACAATTTCTTCAAAGCAAGAAAGGTGGAAATGTGGTGTAATAATTCCTTATTTTTCCTTTGAAAGTCCTCCAAAGCTTTCAGTTCTAGTCTATTTTAAGGCTCTACAGAAAACTACCTATATGTCTTTAAAAACTAGATACCTTTCTTATTTTCCTGAATTCCAGACTAGAAACATGCTTCTTTCAGTATGACCTTAATTTCTTATCTTAAATTATTTATTCATGATTTACTTGTTAATTTATCCTCCTATGTAATGAAGAGGAAGGGAACAGTTAACTAACTGATTCTCTAAACATCGCATGCCAGGAATTTAGTACTAGTTATTTGATTGTCTTAGAAGAAAGTACACACAGGTCTTATAGAGGAAAGCTGAAGTATTGAAAACTGCCCCATCCTGTGGAAGAGCTAACATTCAAACTCCAGTCCATCTGCTTTCTCAAATAATTTTCTGTGTCCACTGTTTTCCAATCATCAATCTAAAGCCTTTTGGATGGAGCTCTAGGACTATTCCAGGTATCTGGAAATCCCTACGGGGCACGAAAATGTCATTTTGGGTAAGCCTGCTAGATGGATGTGTAGGAGCCCGTGGTGAGAGGGTGGAGAACAGTAGAAGAATAGTGGTCTTGGCCTCTCCTTTCTAACTGGTGCACAGATTCTTTGGAAACTCTGAGGAGTGTTGAGGATGTTTACCTAGGAAAGCACATGCACAGCTAACACTTGCTTTAATTTTTAGTAACTTGAATGCGTGATGAAGCTGATTAGGTTGACGGGTTCTGCTGTGAGTCTGTACCCAATTTCCAATGTTCTAAAGTGTGGTTCATGCATAGCAGCAGCAGCAGCAGCAGCAGCAGCAGCAGCAGCAGCAGCAGTTTCTGAACGTTCTTAGAAGAGAGGAGAGTCTCTGGTCCCCACCAGATCTGGGACCTGAAATAAAATGGTAGACGTTGAGGATGTCCTTTGGGTCATCTAGGGCTACTCCTCAGACATTCTTGAATGACTGGCTACTCGTTGCTTTTTAGAACACCCCAAGGGAAACAAAGTCTTCTGAAGTGAGTCCCCTGCTCTTGGTCAGTCCCCTAGTCAAGTTCTTTTATAAATGGAAATGAAATCTGCCTCCCTTCCTTGTCATGGCTCTCATTTCTGCCCTGTCAGCTGACCATTTGAAGCTTCTTCCCTGTTTGAGAGTCAGCCCTGAATATTTCCTTGTTCTGCAGACATGGTGATTACAGTCGACAATGTAGAGTCAAATTTGGGCTAGTTACACATGTAGCAAATTCTTGAATATGTACATTAAAATCCTCCAATATCCCTGAAATATGGCTTTACATAAGCTCTCAGTCAATTATGACATTGTGAAGGGAAGAGGGGAGGTCAAATATTTGGCTGAAAGAGCTGACATTATTAAGATTATATTAAGGATTCAATTTTGTGCAAGCCTTCCTGTAAGTTTCCCTTTCCCATCCCCCTGTCTCACATCATGCCTCTCTCCTGCTAGCTTGAATTGTCAGCACACCTGTACCTTTTTAATGGTTATGGCTAAACCCCAGTGCCAGCTGGAGAGAAAGGTCACGTTTCATGGTTGGTGTAACTGGAGAATAGTGTTTCTTAGGAGCAGAGGTGGCAGCGCCTTTTGGGAAAGTTTGAGAACATTGGCCTATTCAAAAGTGACATACCTTGGGTACTGAATCATCTTTGAAAAAAAAATACTTGATCGGGCCTCAATTTTTATTGTGGCTCTCCCTCATATAGTCAGGGATTGAGTGAGTGGTCAGAATAAGATAGGTTGCCAAGCAGAGGTAGGATATGAATTGCAAGCAAAGGAAAGCTGCAGGTAATTGGATCTAGTATGTAATATGAGGTTTATTACATGCTTTCACACCTCTTCTCTGTATGAATGGATGGATGGTTTTCCTTGTCTAGTGGCCACGAATCATCTTTCTTAATGGAAACCACATTTGCTGTCAGAGTAATTAAAAAGTAACTCCCATTTCTATAGTTTCTATAGCAAACCTGTTACCAAGTGACCTGGTGATGGAATGCAGACATTGGTGAGTACCCCCATAGTCTTTCAAACTTCAGAGTGCCTTTCAAGGGAAAGCCATGATGTATAGGTCAACAGTGCTTAAGCTGTAGAATCACCCTGGTTTCAAAAGAGATAGGGGGACATCAGAAAGATGGAAAGTGCTTAGCGCTTGAGTTTAAATTTTTTTTGTTTCATTTGTAGAAACACAAAAATATCCAAGATCTAATCTTAAACTAAAACTTGGCTCTAAGAGACATGTGCAATAAATTAACAGATTAAAGTTGTTTACACCTTTGGCACTCTAAATCTCATATTTCTGCTTTAAATAGCTTTCCTGGCAATTACATACTAGAATTTTTCAATATATAATAATTCTAAAAGTTGCATGGTGGATAACATTTTTGGGGGGTTGTCAATACCATTCCCTTCTCAGCCTCAGCCCCTAAAATGATTATTGATGATAATAACCATCATTCTTATTTATGCTTGACTTCATTTCATGTGAATAAATCCAGACTTTGGTCAAACCACTTTTTGAGGTACCTGTATTTGACACGACTTTGATGCTTTGAAATGACATCTGTTGAAATGAAATCAACAGGTTAACACAGATACTTATGTAGGCCTCAGTGAGTTAGGTGCCTACTGCAGATGTAGAGTAAGATGTTCTGTGGACTTTTCTGGGGCTTGGCAGCTAGTATTGCAGAAGGACATTCAGAGAGAGAGCGAGAGAGGGACAGAGAGAGAGAGAGAGAGAGAGAGAGAGAGAGAGAGAGAGAGAGAGAGAGAGAGAGAGAGAGAGAGAGAGAGAGAGCTGTGAATTCCAAGAACAGAAAAAAACAGCATTATGCACTAAATCTACGCATTTGAGGTGGTACAAAAGCCAAGGGCTTCATCTCTGTAGTCCAGAGGATCGCACACAAGCTACCAACTCCTGCTCTGGTTTTCTCCTCTGCTCCTTCTTGTCTCCTAGTTTTCCTACTTCAGGCTCACTCTGGGAACTGTCTGCTGATAGTCTGCTCCTCGACACCCCTTCTTTCTGTCCTGCTTGTTTTACAGACACTTCCCTTGATTCCTTCTCATCGTCGCTTAAAATATGACGTTAGTGAGGACTCTCCTTCTTCCCGAGACAGTTTCACTCTGTAGCTCAGACTGGCCTAGAGCTCATGGTAATGCTCCTGCCCCACCCTCCCCGTTATTAGTATTAAGAGTGTGAGCTACTGTGCCTGACTTGGAAGTTATTTCAGAGCCACCTCATTCAGAAAGCTCACCTCTGGGATTTCTATTTATCATCCATTTCTACTGCATCCCATAGCATTTTGCTCATTTTAGTATAATAGATTTGCCTCAATTATTTTGTTTTTTTGGTTTCGCCGTCTCAGATGTGTGCCCCTTTGAAAGCAGTGATTTGTCTGTTTGATTCATTGCTATATCACTTGAATATTCTTAGATAATTCAGTGTTCAACTTTTCCCCCCTAAATACGTGAATTCTACAAAACTTAGG